ATATTTTTGCCGGAACGATCTCAAATTATGTCCAAATTTTCAAAATCTTTTCAATGTTTTCAATGTAATAATCGACTGCGCATGGGGTTGATGTATTTACACGATTCACTAAAAACGCACCTTTTCAATACGAAAACTTCCTTTCCCGAACGAAACAATCTTTGACTGCAGTGGCCTGCGCAAAATGACTACTAGGATGATAATACCACATAACATTTAGCTTTTTCCTAATGATTGAGTGCGTATTGTCTCCTTTCTAATAAAAATTAAGCAACTATTATTTTGTTATTGCATCCTATCCCGATATTCTCGAGATATTCGCCTTTGAAGTTTTGGCCCCGCCAACAGGTAGTTAAAAGATACTACTGAGTACTGACACTTTCCGTTCTCTATCATTTCATAAGGAGCACACTGTAGAAGCAGATAGGTATGCGTTCACTCTTATATATTATATTCTATAGTTTAGTCCTATCTCCATAGGCAAAGCAGTAACCACAATATAACCGGCATAGGGAAACAGGTTTCTGGCTATCCCATTCTCTTCCTAGGAACCTTGAGTTCCATAGTTTTGGTTTGGTACAAAATGGGATATATTGGTTACTCCTTTAAGTACAGGTTACTCATTCACTATTGTGGGTTCTCGTGGTTTAAGATCGTTTCTTTAATTTTAAATGTAATGAATTTTAAACCATGAATCCATAATGTACCTAATGCGAAGTATGTAGCTCATTTATCCCATTTTTTTGAACCAAAGCTATGGAGTGCCATTGGAAAACATGTGTCGCAAGATTTCAAAGTGCTTCAAAAGCAAATTAGTTATTAGGGGGCGCACGCTTTAAGTGAAGACTTGCTTGGGGATTTCATAACTGATGAATAATAACTCAACATGAATCACTACTAAAAAAATTTTTCAAAATCCACTCGTGGGTGTTGCCACGTAACACAACTGCAATTTGGGCAAATATAGACCATAGCACTTATCAATTAGCGAAAACCTGAAGTCTCTAGGTGGCCCAGGGGCCAAGATCTCGACGGAACAGACAGACTACAGACAGACTTCAGAAAATCGAGCACATAAGCGAGAACCAACGTCGACGGATTTCTAAAATCGGTGGTTACCGCGAAAACCAAAAATCCCTTTCGGCTCGGCCGATCAGGTGTAGGTAGATTTCTTTCCGCCACTTGGTTCCAATATGGCGGAAACGGAATTGTCTGATTCACGAACTTGATCGAGATATTTATGAGTTACACCAACTCTTAAAGTTTAGCCTAAATAGGTTCATAATTACGAAAGTTAGAGTGTTTTTTGGAAGTGGTGTATGTAAACATATAAATATACTGGTACCATTACAATAGGTTTTTTAAAAATGCGCTGTGACAATCGGTTTTTTGTAAGCAACTAAATAAATTAAAAACACGAAGATTAAAATTTGAAATCATCTCTTACCTTTTCTTTGGTCATTATCACCTGATAACGTATGAAACTACGATGCAAAATGATTTAATAGGTAGTTTATTGCACCTGAATGTGTCACTAGATTGCCATTTTCAAGTATTGTATTATTAATACACGTCACCTCTAGACTGTCGCTCCTGAACTTATATAATTTTATATGTCATACTTTACTGATAAAACTTTCGTCGGTCAGTCGAGTGCATTATTTCGAGGCGAACGGACCTTATAGCGAATATTAAACATTAATGTGTTATATTTAAACAATTGGCGAACGATTTGAGGTAAAGTTTTCAAACGTTTCTTATACTAATTGGGCATGTTAATTGTTTAATCTTGTTATTGTATTAGTACTGGTTATTTTGTAACGTCCAAATGGCCCGCTTTGACCAGAAAGGCAAAATTTCGGTATGCCCAAATTCTCGTCCCACAAAGTGGTTATTTAATAATATTTTTTCAATTATTGCTACAGCCTAAAGCGCAACAACGTAATGATAGATTACTATAGTTCTGAATCGGTAACCGAAATTTTGTATACTTGGATGAGTAATTTCCAAAAAAGTGCAGTGATATTTTGAAAATCATCTCGTGTTAAGATTACGCGAATACGTTTAAAATTAAAAACAAAGCAATACAAAATTTCTCCTCGCTGAATAGAGAAATAGGGTGGAGATTAAATAGTATTTTCTGGTAGTTTCGAGAAAGGTATAAATTCTTCTTCAAAGGTTTTAAACCTTTTAACAGATTTTATGAGATTACTAATTTAGGTGGACGTATATTTTTGGCAGCCTATACGAGGCATTTTAAGCTTTCTTAAATAACTTTTTATTGGGTATAAAAATTTTTCACAAATTCGAAAATAGTGTAACTAGTTCTATTCTAAGTGGTAATGTTACACTGGAGTACCACAGGGATAGGAAACGGAAAATATTTTTTCGTATACCATTTTAATGTAAAATAGTAAAATATTCCCAGGTAATGAATCAAAAGATTTGTGTATAGTTATTACGGTGTCCTTGTGAGGAACACCCTATGCGAGTTCATCTGCAAACCACCACCTGAAACTAATCAGCAAGATCATTGAAAGGGTATTATATGCAGAGTGGTGCATCGATATTTAACAATGAAACCATTATTTTGATGTACCTAGCTAAAAGTGAATTCTGGAAACCATTTGGTAACCTCCATTTTAGGTGGTTCAAGGAGAAAATCTGTTTCGATAAAATGCATTGGTGGCAACCTCAAATAGCAGTACGCACCGGGCGCAATCACTTCTGGGAGCGCTTCTCCAAAATCAAGTTAATAAAAACTTATTCTGCCCTCTACAATGAGCAAAATCAGCTTAAACAGTCTCGCAATGTTGTCCATAGAAAAAGAAACCTCTCTAGAAATCAATTTTGTTGATGTAGTAAACAAATTAGTGAAATAAAGACACGTCGTCATGTGTACGAGCTGTTCCAAATTGCTTGTTTTCGATGTTTTTGGGGGATATTTTGAGAACTAAAAGAGAGCCGTGCGCGCGGGTGCATCATCCTGTTGAAACCAACAGTTTCCAACTACTCAATACAGTGTGTCCTTTTTTTACGGGCCATATAAAAAATAAAGTTGATGATGATTCTCCGAAACGAAACGTTGCATTGAAAATCTCTCAACGCTGTCTTGTAGAGCTGAAAAAGTGGCAATGAGAAAGTGTTTTTAATTTGTTTGTATCTGTTCAAATAGCATCAGACAAAAATAAAAACGAAATCGGCAAATTTAGGAAGTTCCGAAGTAATCTGAATTTTTTGATTTACTCTTTAACTGCATAACTTTTCGCTAATTTGGTCATCTTTGTGTTCTCTATGGTTTCCTAGATCTCCATGATAGAAATCATTATCTTGGACACAGTGTATAGGTAGTTCATATTTCAGGAAATGCTCAAAATAACAGTATTTTAATAGAATTTGCTCATGTATGTATCTCAAATAAGTTAGACTTTAGAGTGATTTATATTGATTACAGAGATTTAACTATTAATTAATTTAATCTATTAAAATAGTGTTATTTTGAGCATTTTTGGACTTTTTCGCTGTTTTCACATTCGCCCAAGTGGAAAACAAGCAATTTGGAACACCCTGTAAATATCTGTTTGCATAGTACCTACCAAGCTGTCAATTTGGTAGAAAAGGGAAGAATTGGGAGGGGGGGGGGGATGTTAGGGCGCAATTTTGGTAGGCCGCTCCGGGCCCAGCGGTAGCTACACGCCACTGAGCAGTAGGTACAGACCTTTAGCACTATCAAGAGCATAATAAAGTTTTAAAAGAAAATAAGATTACTTAATTGGACGATTTCTTACTAGGAAGCTTTTAACTTTAAGACGGTAACGAAATGATGCCTTACTCATTTCGATAGTAAATTTGAAGCGAACCTCGATAATTTTGACCTGGAGCGTTATTTGAATATCTAATATGCTTCTTCTGCCCATAACCTACATATAATTGTGATAGGTTTTTTAGTTAACCGTGTAATCGTTTTGAAAGTTCATTAAAGCTTTTAAGGAGGAGGATTCGAAATGATTGTTGCCGTTTGTAAAGTTACAGCTTTAATGGGGGAAAAGGGCGGCGGAGAGGACTCGTCCTAAATAACAATTACAACTTTATTCGAGATAATTAGAGAAACGCGTGGCACTACTTAATGCAAAATAGATTTTCATATTCCATCTTGATTAAGTAATTTGCATAAACCTTTGAGGAAAAATTAATTTGAGCGCGCTAATTTTTATAAAACAAGCAGTTTGGAAAAATATGCGTGTTTCTTTAGTCCGGAGTGAAATTTAACGTAATGTTTTTAGTGATTAATTAAATAAAAATAATTATTTCCTGAGATAAAAAATATCTTGAGGGCCACTTTAGAATGCGTAATATGTAATGGTGCAAGTAAGGTTAGTTTTTAATAAGAATTAGTGGCGCTTTGGAATGCATGATTAAGATTTGTGAGTGGGTTAATGGGGCTGTTTATGCAATTGCAAAGGTGTTTTGGTAGGCGTGTATACTTGTACACTGATGTGGTAGCCTGGTGGTGTATGGGGTAGGTGGGTGACGTACTACCCCAAAAAGCAGCCGGCTTGCAGCTGCCGTCCCTTATATTAAACAGAACAGGCCGGGTGGCTGGCCATTCGAGGGTAGCGAGTACGCGAGTTCTCTTCGTGTTTAGTAAGTTGCTAGCGAACGTAGTGGTCTCCTTAGTCTAGAAGCCGAGAATTATAGCGGAAACAGAAGCCGACCCCTTAGCGAGCTCCCCTCCCCTAAGCAGACGTACCACACGGCTGCGGCGTCGGCTTCCACAGTCTACATCTGGCGCTTACTCGCTGTGTTAGTTGTCTTGCACCGTTCAGTTATACGTGTTAATGGATTACGCTGTGGCGTTATGGGGTGGCATATCATAAGCTAAATGTTAAATGTGTGTTGTGTTATTGTGATTGTCCTCAAATGTGTACGCAACTAACGTTGCTTTTATTTAACTTCTGTGAGTGTTAAAAAAGACGATTGCCTATGGCGTGGTGTTGCAGATCGCCCCTGAGGTAACAGCACCTGGAAGTTGGTGAACCCTCACCGAAGGATAACGACAATCATCATGTCTTGGATATTATACACTCTAGTCGGGCTTTTTCTTGCCCTGCACCAGGTAAGCCTAGTTGTCTAGCCGCCAATATTAGCTCTTTGTCGACATTCAAAAAACTTTTTTGTATATACACAAATATAAATTTAGACCGCACATTGAACAAAATACTCGCATTCTATTTAAAATTATTCAACGCGGATGGCGTGAGGTGGTGAAAACTTTTCTTTTTGGCCAGTGTCTCACGACCTATTTTTTTTAAACGTTGTAAACAAACTGGCTGCTATGAATTAATTTCGGACAAGATTCATACCCGTGTTCTGTCTAGGCCAAATCTTCCGGAGTATTCGAATTGCGATTGAAATCATTTGACAACGAAGCGGGCAAAGACGACTTGGGAAAGTGCTGTAGCGGAAAATTGGGAGAAAATTCCGAATGTAGCGATTACTGTCATCCACGATTTCGTGTTTGTCTCAAGGAATATCGAGTTAACATCGACCCTACATCGCCATGCACATTCGGAGACGTTACGACTTCTGTACTTGGACCAAATTTCGAAAATGACACGACCCAAGATGGTTTTGAAAATTCCATTCGATTTTCATTTCCATTCACGTGGCCGGTGAGTTTTTCTTGTCTATTTATATATGAATGCATGAATCCGATTACAACCCCTTTCAACATCCACCACCGTTTCGCTCATCGTTCATTCACATACCTACCCTTACATAAGTGTAGATTAATAAATTGAAATGTGACTACGAGAGCGAAGCGGTATATTGGCGAAGTCTTAGATTTTTTCAATAAATTTATTGATCAAACCGAATCCTTCTATAGAACTTCCTTTTATTAGCTATAATCATGACAACTAAATATGTTCGGTTGAAATTTATCGACGCGATTGAAAATTTGGTATACAGGATGTTCCACTTATGCAACCTTTACGAGAACCTCTAATTCACTACATTCCCATTACAATTTCTAAAATAATGCAACAAATTTTTTTTAACTAAATACGTTAAAATTGGAAAGCGTATCACGTAGGAAGACGTTTCCGTGTTTTCAAATTCTTCGCATTTTACTTATGCAAATGTAATAATTCCGCAACCGAAAATGCCATGCCTTTTGAAACCCTATCTCCAAATGTCCACATCCTTTAGCGAGTGTAAAAATGCGTCTTAATATTAAGTGAAATTTTTTTTTAATTACAGGGCACATTTTCGTTAATTGTCGAAGCATGGCATGGAAATCTGACGTCAAATTCAGGAGGTAGGTAAAATCCATTTTTTAATAACACGGAAATACGTACGTAATTACGTTTTATTTAGTTTTTTTACACTTGAAAAGACAAACGATTCCACCATTGTTTCTTATTTATGTTTAACGGGTTTTATAAAATTGCTTTGAGATTCTTACGGCTCGAAATTTTGCTTCGTACGGTATAGTGCAGTGGAAAATATTCTGGTCAGAACTTGACGTGTACAATTGAATGTTGAGATTTTAATTGTTTTTGACAATGGACAAAGGAACACGGATTTTGTAGCAATTAAGACAATTTTCTGGCCACCCGTAGTTTAAAAAAGTGTATTTTTTTATGAAAAGGCTGTACATTACCAGGTGCTTTGTAGAATAACCGTCCTCCGACCCTTCTCTATATGTGTTTTACAGGGCCGGTTGTGCAGTTGACATAAGTGATAAATAGACGGTGGACCCTCTATGACCAGTTAACCCCACAATCTTTGATTTTCGATACGGAAGCATTCTTTCCGGTATTAATCGTTTGGCGCCTTTTTATATTTAATTAAAAAAAATCAATGGCGCCGTTGAGTCTTTTCGGATATTGGTGAAGCTGTAAAGTGTCGTTAACGCTTAGTTCTGTGCTAATGAAGGCAATGCTATTTTGGCAATGGAAGGCGACCCGATTTCCATACGTTTACGGTTCTTTTTGCACACTTGAGGATACCGCTTCCTGCGCGTTTTACAGTTGTGGGGTAGTAGGTGGCTCCATACGCCTTTACTAATGGAATCAAATATTCTAAGAGAAGAGATCATTAAGGAAATCTGATATAGACTTGAACTTGAACGGCATAGGAACTAATTAAACTTGTTCACACGTTATATTAAGTTCTGTTGGCATCATAAAGGTTATAGTATATTGTCGAGGCCAGGAAAAATATATTATACCTGTTCTAAAGCGCGGTTACTGCCGGTGATTTATAATTTAGTATACGAAAATTTATTACTTTTTCACCGTTTCGAGTACGAAATCGAGCATTTTCTTCGAGGCTTGTTCGGTTGGGGTGTGATTAACGGGGACCCGTTAATTATGTTAAGAACCTGACGCGATGCGGCTATTTATTTTAGAGAATGCTTTGTGTATTTTTTTAGGAACTTTGCTATTGATTCGGCGAGGAAATGTACGTTGAGCTTTCGGGAGAATAATGTAGGTACAGAAACTTGCACAAAGCACTTCCTTGGAAGATATTATGAGCATGCGATTTAGAGCGCTACACCGGATGTCCTGTTCCTTAATTCTCCCACAAGTTGGGAATATTTGCCTATCTTAAATTTCTTCTCGGCTCACCCCTCGGTCGTGATAGATTCAATTATTAACTTTCCAATATTGGTAAATACGCGCTCCTTTGCATTTATGTAAATTATTTTCTCGCTCTCATTGATCCGGTGGCGATTTCTTTTTTAAGTGTAATTTGTTTTACCTGACTTAACTTCGGACTTCATTATATACATAGTATACAATACCGGTAATGATGCTTCAAGTTTTATGGCATGTGAAGAATTTTACATACACCGGATACAGCTGCGGCGTGCAGGATGCTCTCTGCTCGATGCATCATGCAGGTGTACCCTGTTTCTCATATGTCTGTCTTAGCGACCCCAAATTTATTTCTTAATTTCTTATCGAGAGTGTTTTGTTTCAGTGCTTATTAGTCGGCTAATGAGGCAGCGATGGCTCGACGTAAGCGAAGAGTGGACCGAAGATCTTCACAACTCGAAATACTCCACGTTGAAGTTTGAGTATCGCGTAACGTGCGAGCAGCATTATTACGGAAAGGGTTGCGAAAATTTCTGCCGGCCGAGAGATGATAATTTCGGGCATTATACCTGCTCTGCTGTGGGAGATCGCGTTTGCTTATCTGGCTGGACTGGCGATTACTGCACCAAAGGTAAGTGCACCTCCTCCGAAAGGAAACTCACTTATAAGCTAAATGGAGCCCGGGGCTTCTTCCGTTTGTTTATATCTATTTATGCAAATCGGTCCCGCGAGCAATTAGGATTCTGGTGTAAAAAAAGCTAGACCGAAACTTATACATAATAACGGATATACGAGCACTAATTTAGGCAATTGATAAAATTATGTGCATTTTATATTTCGACGATTCGGTAATAATTTATTCCGTCTAAATAATAAAGGCCGGTGTATAAATAGAGCGCGATAGAATAATCGAAACAAAAAATATGAATTTTGATCATAAAACAACAAAAACTTTGACCGCGGAGCCTAAGACGTGAGCAACTCAGCTGCTGTCGACTTTGCAGCCGGCCGTCTTCCCACGATACCAAACATACCTGAGTGCATACAGGGTGCTCCGTTCCACATTATTTATTACACAAACTGTATTTTTTAAACAGAATATTGAACTCCGCTTTATTATGATCGTTATTTTATGGATATAATTTTGTTTCAGCTCGTTGTCTACCCGGTTGTGACGAACAGCATGGTCATTGCACTGTACCTAATGAGTGCAAGTAAGTATGAAACTATCTATTTAAAGAGAAATTTTTATTGATTCGTGGATTATCGCATCTCTTTGTGGTGAACTTGAAACGGTCGGTCTATAATTTACGGAAGGTAGTGGTTAGAAGGCCCACTGTCTTAGCGGAAGAAGCTGTGTACAGTACAGTGTATGCGGATTGGGACGGCGACCCGTAAGTAACCTTTCCTTGACCTGCATACTTGCCACCGGGCAGCGTGGGAAAAGGCTCTGTAGGCGTGTTGCATCCCCGCAGAGCTCCGCGCTTACCTTGGTCTGCGATTCAAGCTGCAACTCAATGAGTTCCTCGATACAATCCGAATAAACTCGCTCCCGAAGACATGATTAGAATAACTAAGAATGCCCAATTGTACTTCGGCCTACTGCCTCAAGTAAAATTCTCAACAATATTATCGCGTCTCGCTTATGTATTCAACTCTTATATATAGAAAGACGTACGCGTGTGAAACACATACCCTTACCTTGCCGATTGATTTTATTTAGATGCTTCAAGTCTTAGTCATGCGATAATCCATCAATTACGAACGCTTATTAAATCGCGCAATTTATTACAGATGCCAATCGGGTTGGGAAGGCCCTTTATGCAACGAATGTCAACGTTATCCCGGCTGCATGCACGGTACGTGCGTGAAACCCTGGGATTGCATTTGCAACGAAGGTTGGGGCGGACTTTTTTGTAACCAAGATCTCAATTTCTGCACGAATCACAAACCTTGCCGCAACGGAGGCACTTGCCGAAACACCGGACCAGGAAGCTATACTTGCACATGTCCCCCCGAGTTTACCGGCAGCGAATGCGAAATAGCAATCAACGACTGCAGCACAAAACCCTGTCTTAACGGCGGCACATGCAGCCCAAACGGCACCTACCACATATGCCTATGTCCTCGAGGTTTCAATGGACCCCATTGCGGTACTGCGATTCAATCTTGTGATGGAAAACCTTGCAAAAACGACGGAATTTGCCTAGACACCGACAGAGGATATACGTGTAAATGTAAGGCGGGGTTTGTTGGGGATAACTGTGAGCAGCCCATCAACCACTGCCTTCCAAATCCTTGCCTAAATAATGGATCCTGCGTTCACAATGCTAACGGCTTCCGATGCGCCTGTCCTTCGGGCTTTACGGGTCATAGATGTGAGACTAACATAGACGATTGCCAAGATAACCCATGTTTAAATGGTGGGACGTGCGTCGATAAAGTTAACGAATTTTATTGTCAGTGCGTGCCCGGGTTCGTCGGTTCTCTTTGCCAAACACGCGTAGACTATTGCACCACCAAACCTTGTGCAAATGGTGGAACTTGTATAAAATTGACGAACGACTATAGGTGTAAGTGCGCCCCAGGTTTTACGGGTAAAGACTGTAGTGCAGAATTAGACTTATGTCAGTCACAACCGTGTCGGAACGGAGGTACGTGCGTGAATCGTGTCCACGACTTTGAGTGCCATTGTCCTGGCGGCTTCTTGGGTCGCACGTGTGAAAAAACTTTATCCACTGTAGATCAATGTTCGGCGCATCCCTGTCGAAACGGGGGATCGTGTATTAACGGCGACAGTGGTTTCGAATGCCGATGTTTACCGGGATACTTGGGCCTTACGTGCGAAGAAATCACTTCCAGCGTGTCCCCAAGCGCTCAAGTCTCGTCAAAATCCCAGCTAACCACCGAGCATGTTGTTGTGATAGCAACTATCTCCACGTTCGTGCCGTTCCTAGTACTGATCGCCGTTGGAGTTATTGTTTGCTTGAAGCAACGGCGAAAGAGAGAGAAGGCTCGTGCTGATGAAGAGGCAAGGTTGCAAAACGAGCAGAACACCGCTCATAGCAGCTTTTCCAAGAGTGGTGCGGCGATGTCGACGGAGGCCCATATGATAAAAAATTCGTGGGGAAAGTGTACCAACAACGTGCTAAGCTCGAACTTACCGTCCCCAGAAGACTGTATTACATCTAGCATAAGTGTTAGTGATAATGAATGTTTCGCGAAACCTTTACACCAAGTGATCGACGGACGTTCTGTGTATACGCTGCAAAGAACACGATCTCAAAAACAACTTAACACCGAATCGGGTCAGCGTGCTTCAGTGCTACTCTCTGCCAAAATGCACGAGCACGAGTACGAGCCTATCAAGCGACTCTCCCTAATGTCGAATTCCTCGACCATATGCGGAGTTAAGTAAGTGCGCTAATGTTTTTTTTCAATTTCCGATGCTTATTGCTCTTTCTTTATTAGCGACCCATCGTTGTTGAAAAGGCCAATGGATAAAGATCCCAGTGGCGTTTATGTGATAGAAGAACATTTTCATCGACCTGATGCGATAAACCAAGGTCTGATTGCTACCGAGGTGTAGAGTGTATGGAGGAGTGGAACGTATGTGATGTCGACCTCAACGGCAGTTAATAGGAGCAAGTTGTACAGCTATTTATTACCGGCTTCCACTTGCTGCCGTTTAGGGCGCCTATAGAAGTTAATTTATTTTTGCATGTGTACTTATTATTATTAGGTTCCCAAGGTCCATTGTCCAGATTATAGCGCCAAATTCGTGATGCCGCTCTCGTAGCCGCCAATACTAACAACCAGATTTTTCTCTAATGGCTCTATGTGTATATGTATATATTTCTTAGGGTTATTTTCTTTCTCTTAATATTTTCTATTTTTATATTTATTTTGTTAGCCATTATTGGAGAGTACTGGTTGGTGCGAACCAAAGACTTTGACGTATTCAAGAGTCTTGTCTTGCGAATTTGGCGCATGTTCCTTTTCTCAAGTAGAATGTAACTAATTTAACACAATGATTGTGTTTGTCTTTGTAATATGTGATCATTTGAAACAAACTAAGTCAGAACTGTCTAAATGGGCGTTTCGCAGTATTTTTAAGATCTGTTAGCTACCTAACTTTTGGCTTGCGATAGGTAAGCGATTAATCTTCTCGTCTCAACGATGGGAAGACTAATCACTCTTTGTGACCAGAAGCGACTGATGTTATATGTATATTGGTATCAGCCTTAGTATTAGATAATAACGAATGTCTTTGAGCAAAGATATCATGTTCCTCTAGTTATGCTAAGTCATGTCATTATTGGTTCACAAGAACTGAAATTCTCCTGTTCTTGTAAACTGATCATATACTTGTTGTATTAATGAATAACGTGAACAAGTTGAATTTGAAGACTTAATAATCGTCAAAAGACCATTTGTAATATATTATGTACATTTATAGTGAGAAGTAATTGTAAACTTTATGTCAATATTATAATATCAATTATTATGATTGTTCTGTTTCTTGATACAGTTTCTTACACGGTAAACTGTATTGTTTAGTAAATTTGTTCTATAAAATGATGACTATTATTTGCACCCCTTACCCCTTGAGTGCAAAAAGAGTATATAATTCCATAGAAATAATGTAATTCTTACCTAAAAACTCAAGTGTAAAAAACCGCATCCTGATCCTTCAAAAATGGAGCGGTTGTAATAACAAGATACGAAGAATTGCATATGATTTTCAATGGAGGAATTACAATTATTTAACACTCGCGTTCGGGAACACGACTTTTAATCCGGCTCATTCAATAGCACTGATCCTTGAACTCATAGACATGGCGAAGGTTTGACATCGCCGTCTCTTTCCGTTCTCGAGTTAGACGAGGAACAGGCAGACGGACAAAACCATCACATAAGGTAAGGTGTACAAGCCTACTTTTGTGGGCTTTGAATAAGTAATGGGAACGAGTGACCTAGTTTATTTGATGGGGTATACCATTTTAATTTTATACCCCTTTGAAGGGTGCGTCCAGCACGTGGTGTAACTTTGGAATCGTATGTAGAGTTTTTGGATTTACATTTTATTCTCATTGTTTTCTCAGATACAATATAACAAATAATGTCTTTATAAAAATTTAATTTCCCGAATCGGGCAATTTTGAAAAAATCCGTCCGATTAATTTTCCCCGTAACTGTAATAACAAAGAAATTGCAACATGTCAAAATTGAGGACTGTTGATTTGGTACGCACCTATACGTGTTCAATTACAATATATTATTTTATACTAAAAACCAGTTAAAACAGTCCGAAATAAGAAAAACTCAAATGTTCCCGACAAGCAAGATAGATAACAGTTTTACGTTATTATGTCGTTTCCTTTTACGCCTGGCCGATTATCTAATTGCTAAGTTAGTTTTAACTATTCCAAAGCGAATTATCTGATTCAGATTTATTTCAGTTAAATTATTCAAAACATAAATTTGCCTGCCAATTAATTTTTAACGTGTGTTTTTCCCCCAAAAAGTTATAATCTAGTGGGCAACTTTATAAGAGAGGTGAAGGAAATCGGACGGTCAACTTTTTGTAACACATTATCATCTGAAATACAAAAAAATGACGAAAATGAAAGATATGTACTTTCCAAAAAAAATTTGTTGGATCGCAGATTCAAAAATTAGTTCTAATTGTCATTATAGACGTGGAGCTGGCTACAGAAAAATGTTAGTTATCGTTATATGGCTGATTTTTGTTGTAAAGTATCCTGATCAAGTAGAAATCGTCTTGTCTGTCAGCGACATCCCGTGGCTTAAGGCAGAGAGGGAGCGGTCAAATATGTTAAATTTAATCAAACTTACGACCATTGAATAAAAAACACTTTATTCAATGATAGTGTTTTTATTCAATGGTTCCGAGTATACGTATTTATCTCTGGCGGCTTTATTTTGAACCCGACCGAGAAAAGTGCAAATTTTAAAAAAATAAAATGCTTTAACGTTTTAATTTAAAATTTCTTAAAAACTAAGAAACTCACAAAAGAACTGTAATGGACTATTTTGTAGAGTTTATTATGCCACATTAGCCAGTGTATGCTATATCTATAGATCGTAGCCATATTATAAAATCCGCCGTTTTATGATTATAAAAATGCGACAGTAGAAACATTTTTTGTGGAAAACTGCACTAATAGAAAGTGACGAAGTAACTCGGTCATTATGTGGGAAAGGTAACCTACCCTTTTTTTAAATAGTATTTTCCAGTTTTTATTAATTTTTGTAAATCTAAATTATTTTATGCGTAAACGGTTTTTTGAAAATCGGATCTCAAAGCCTTCTCCATAAATTTATTGTTTAGAGGAACGATGGATAATGTTAAAAAAACGGTTTTTTAATTATTGTAGTTGTTTAGACATTTCTAACAAATGTATCTCTTCGTAAAATAAATTGCTTTCTGTAATCTAAGTGCGGCAGACCTACTATTTTTATGATTTACGTAAATACGATATAATTATCCTTTATCCTATATGTAAAAACTGCTCAAAAAGTGTATACAGAGTTCTGAGGGATTATGTAACACTTCTCAGTGTTGAGAATGCGAAAACTTGTTTTTTTTTAATGGAATCCCCCGTGTTGTATTGTCTATATTTTTAACTTTTAATCATCTAGAATGTATTTATTTCATAATCCATGATCGAGTTTGAGGAAAGAGTGTATTCCGTATTATATAAAATTAGTGTGGGATGCTTTAATCACGAGAGTGACTGTCACAGTTGACAGTAGTAAAAACATACCTATTAATTATATAGAATATTATCGTTCACGTTTTTCAAAGTTGCAAATAATAGTATAATTAATTAGTAAACAAATAAAAGGAACTTGCTATTTTCAAATGGGAGAACCATGGCATAAATTCCTAAGCACCCTGTATACATTTTTCAAGAGTGGATACGTGTTAGAAAAGAGGCCCTGTCTTTTCTAACACGTATCCGTATTTGCAAATACGCGGCGACCTTGGGTATAACCGGAAATGGTATAAAATTGAAAATATTTCAGCTGAAACGAGCCCATATGTACAACTTTTCGCAAAAATATTCGCATTATTATCTGATGTAAAAATCGACTCTTGTTGTTTGACATCCTATATCAGAAATGTAAGTTTATGGCGATTTGCACCGCCAGTAAAATTTTAGCTGAAATTAAGATTAAAAGTACTGCCTAATATCTATCTATAGCACCGACTGCTGCGATGATTGTGTCTCAGATTGTGTTACTTAATTTTATACGGTGCCAATATAGAAACGGGCATTATCGTCACAAAATTAAAACAATAAATCACCTTTTATAACAAAGAAGTTAAAGTTATGCCAATTGCATTTCAGTCGTATATAAAAGACTTTCAGAAATTATCACATTTGTATACTGTAGTTTAATCAAACGTAATTCAGAGATAATCGTTTCTATTTCAGATTATCTAATTAATGTTCAGAACTGATACGAGTAAATGATGGTTGTGAACTGGATCCGACGAAATCTGCTCTACACGCAGTTTTCAGAACATTTTATTATTCTGAAATACATACAGTCGCTCGTAATCAATTAATTATTATAAAATGCTAGTAATTATTTCCGCATTACGTATTACGTTACGAGTATGAAATTCAACTGGTCTTTTCTGAACGACACACTGGGATAATGGGAAGAAGAAGCAGAAATCAGCAGCTTTCATCGAGCATTATACAAATCATTCAACTTCATTGACCATGTACTTTCCGCATACGCCTTGATAGTATTGATACGAAAGGGTTTAAACTTGCGCTTTTCAAACTACACCTGGAGTGGGCAGATTACAACAAAGAAATTTTAGAAATTGCACTATTATCATCCGTCCGGATGACTTGGTCAATGTTGGTTTCTAATAATTTGCAACCAGTTGGTTTTTACCTGGTAATTCGGTTAATAATCAGATGATAAGTTTCCTAGACATTACATTTTTTTGGAGAAGAAAGTTGGAAGTGATAGTCATTAGTTTACGTCATATACTTCAAGGAATCTGTGGTTTTGGAAAATGAAAATCTATTTGTGAGCGAGCTGTGAAATTTGAAAGGTCTACTGGACATCAGACAATTACCACCAACAAGTTTGCGTTACGAAAAAAGTTTTGACACATGATGGAGGCGACGAAGATGTGTACCCATAGCTAGTTTCGATCGCACCAAATCCACAAGAGGCAAATAACGAAACGTTGAAATTGAATCAATAATATTTTCTCATGTCTGCTTGCAGTTTGCAGGGTGAAAATTGTTTGTTGCTCAAAGTCGAGAACAATTGTTTTACTTTATTCCCTAAGGAACACGTACTACATTTAGGTAGATCAAAGTTATAAATCAGCTGTCTGTGGAAAAATATTCAGGGTGGCTTATTTGCAGTGAACAGTACTGGGTTACAAAGATCTTCCAAGGCTTTATTCATAAAAGAAGTAGAAAAAATGCCAATGGGAAAACTTGTGTATAATTTTACGTAGAAATCAGCCGCGTAAAAGTAATGTCTATAAAAATGAACCCCTATTTCACCTGGTCACGCAATAACTTTAGAACGACTTTACCGATTTCATTAATCGTTTTTCGTTTTTTTTTCGTAGAAGGTTCTTACGGAAAGCAAAACAGAAAAATTGCAGAACCATCGCGCGTTTGACAGTTGGCGCGCCGCAATTGTTTAAACAGCTACATCGATCGGCGGTTTATTTATGATCGGTCCGCATCTATCCATCAATTTATTAACGAGCTCCTAGCGAGTTTATAATTTTACGGTGTCTGTCCGTCCGGTAGCACAATAACTCATAAACGAATGGACCGATTACGATGAAATTTTGCAGGTGGATTCTTTATCAAATTTGTAGATCGGAGTTCGTGAATTGACATGTAGCCCAAAAAATAAAGTAGGCGTTAGTGATGAACATAAAATTCAATATGCGCATAGCTTTAGCCATATAAATAGGCCAGTAAATGACAGTTTTGGCGTGTAATTTTTCACGCCTCGACGGATTTAGGCTCCTCTTACCCTCTACTTCAAAGGTGAACTTGAGCCCAGGGTTGCTTTTAATTGGGGGGTGAATGCCACCCTTTCTCCGGGGGGGGGGAGATACGTTCAAAATAAGTCCGGAAATTGATAAATTGAGTAATTCTAAGTAATTTTTCTTCTATAGAGTTTTTTGACTAAGTCAATAGTATTCGAATTATTTGCCAGTGAAAATGTTCATTTTTCAACAAATAAACCAGGTTTTCAGACGGTTTTTCACAAATAACTCTAAAAGTAAGTATTGTATCAAAAAAAGTATTCTTAGCAAAAATATAGCTAATAAAAAAAACAAACAAAATGGTCTATATATGGAAGTCTGTAGACCCAGTAGAAGCAAAGTTGTAGCTCATGTAAAGTAGGTTCTCATTCGTCAAATTCCAAATCGAGTACTTCAACGTGAAATAACCAAAAAAT